TTGGGGTAGGTCGAGAAGAATGTTTTTAGTTTGGCATATATGTACATAAAAAAGATTTCGAAAGTGTATACATAAGTATGTAGGTAAACCCAATCAATGAAATAAGCCTGCAAACCAAAGTTCCCGAAATCTTAACAAAATCTTTAGGAGTATCTCGTTTCTGTAACGATTGTTTTACGAATCTTCAAAGAAAATTAAATGAACTCGTAAAGAAATTTCTGTACGAAAAAAAACTCTGAAACAATTCCGCAATAAATTCTTTACATAGCAGCATTACTTTAATTGATTTACCGATTGTCTTCCGAAATTTCGTAAAAGAATAGTTTATTTTATTTTAGAAAATTCGGCAAAAAAATCCGATGAGAGCTTTACGAATTCCTTAAAATCTCTCTACAATTTAGAATACTCTGAAAATATGGTTTGCAGGGAATATACCATTTAATACTACTTGACTTATTTCAAAGTTGTTTGAATTTCTGCACTTGGTAACTGAACGCGAAATCGGAAGATTCTCTCTAACATTCCTTATAGGACCCAAACTTAACGATTAAACTTTCCCAAAAGCATTTAAAACTTGCTTGCTGCTTAAATATTCTTTATATATATATATATATATATATATATATGGCTCTTTCTTTGCAGAACTAACATTTAAGAACCCCTAATTTATTTAAAACGAATGCGAAATATTTCATAACTTATTTCTACATAAATGCTTACATATTTACCTGGTGTCATCGTTGGCAGAATCATCCGAATGGTAGCCATCGCTGCAGTGGCTGCTGGCACTTTCCGCATCCACCGGACTTGTGGGCACACCTTCGGGACCCATCAGTTGCAAAACAGCTTCGCAACCTCGCCCGAAATTCATTAACAACCCCGCTGCCGGTCTTTTCTCTATACATGCTTGTCCATCCAAACGTTTCACCTGACCCACACACTTCAAGACTTCTTTGTCGTTTTCCACTCGCTGACTGAGGTTCTCCACAAGAGAGGCTAACTGCTTCAACGCGGGCTTGTCCACCATAGTGAGCAATGTTTTGTTCTCGATGAGTCTTTGTTGTATGTCACCATAGTTGATGGCTAGTAGGCGCTGATGCGAGGAGTGTGCAGGATCTTGCACCGCTGTTATCATGCTAAGCTCTTCCAGCTTGTGTATGGCCATTTTGTAGGTGTCAACGTGTCTTTGTAGCTCAGTTTTAAGCGCGACATGCAGCGATATCAACTGTCCTGCGGAGTCTGTTGTTAAGCCGTGCACACCTAAACCTTGAACTGCATTATCAAAGGACTTCCGCCGCTCCCGTAGGGTTTGTCGCAAATTTGGTTCATACTGCGCTATCGCTTGGATGAGCTTCCCGCAACGTTGCCTCACACCCGATTCGTGGGGATGTGAGAAAAGACGTACCAGTTGCCAAGCAACCGATTCTATTGGCACATCAGGCTTTGGTGAGGGATTGATGGTGATTAACCTACGATAAGAATTTTGGTTTAAATATTTTAGTGATTAGGATCAGATTGGTACAGATCTTACCTTGTAAAGAATGACTCTAGTAAATATGCACTGTGTGGTAGGTGCTCCAGAAGCAAGTCGATTGGCAATTCTGCTATTACCGAACGCAGGACAGATGGCCCAAGTCTACCTACAACTCCTGCCGCCTCCCTGTACTGCCGCCCTTCGGAGAGTAACATCAAACGACGCAGCACTTGTCTGGGACTTGTCAGGAATTCACGTCCGTCACGGGGTGGCCCACGTATCCGTTCTCGACTATCGGCCATTGCTGACTCCAGCGATTCTTGGTGGTTCTTGAGAAAAATTTGTTTTCTACGATGTTTTTACAGATTGTTGTATTTTTTCGATTGTGTCATAGGATTTTTATGAATGATGAGCGGATGATAGAACTTAAATTAAAGAAAATGATGATCCAAAGTCAGGTTAAGTCTTAATTAGCAATTAATGAGTATAAAAATCATGAATTGCGTAAATGTTATGAAATTATATCTTAATATATAAAAATGCCGAGTCACTGTGTTCGTTTACGCTAACCGCCGAACTTGCCCATATCCGAGCGGGACTTTTCTAATGTTATTCGCTGCTACGCTTCATAACTAAATATGTTTATGTTGGGGAGAAATAGGTAGTATAGCAAAAAAATAACTGTATTTATACATATAAACATGTGCACATCAACAGCAACAAAAATTTGACCATTTGGACACCATTCAATGTTATCCATTCTCCTGGCTGGCACCGTAACAAGAGATCATTTTTTTTTTTTAAGGGAAGTGAAAAATAATGAGACGAATCCTTGTGTTCGTACGAATCGAAAATTAAAAATTTTTTTCACTAATCGCCTCAATAACAATTTTTTTGTAAATTTCGATATCAAATGAAACGTAAAAAACAATTACGAATTTATCATAAGGTTCATCTTAAGAATAGCGATGAGAGTATTTCTTAAGGAGATGTAACACTTGGATAACGGAATATAATTAAAGTCCACCCGATATATGAAAAACATGTTTGAAAGATTTTTACTTAAAGTACTTAACTTGGGTTTCGTTAATTGTTCACTAATTCCTCTTTATGCTTACTTTAAACTTGTTTTCTTCTCCTATGATTTTTGAAGTGAAACTCTTTTTGGGTTCGGATGGGAGTACATAAAGGCCTGGCACAAAAATAAGGTAGTTTCATTTAATGACATTCGTTGTTGTTGCTAACCATTTGACTTTTAATAAAATAATGACATTTCATTAAATTCATGCTACCTGAAGCAGAAGATTTCATTAGTCCACTCAACGCTGTCGAATATGATGAACCTGAAAATAAATGCATGATCTCAAAAATGGCGTTGACGAGATTAGGTTTCAGAATGGATGAAGAAAGTGATCAAAATTATATTTATGCTAATTGTTTATCGGAGGGCTGTCTGCGCAAGCCGAATTCAAGTTTTTTGCAAACATTGGAAATTTTAAATTCGAAATTTGTTGAAGTTAATGGTGATATGCTAACCACAAAGCCAAATTCTTTGGGAAATCTGATGAGAAATTTAAAAGTAAATTTTAACGAATTTCATCACGAATCACGAATTTAATGTGAACAAAAATTATAAGGCAAAATAAAAATTATTTTTTCCAATTTGTTTTTGTTTTGGATGTTAAGTTATGCGAATTATTTATTTACATGGGAGTGGCGATTATAAAAAGATTTTATTTTGAAAAAGCATCTTTAAAATTATATTTTTAAATCGCAAGATTGCATTCAAAATAAGAAAATGAAAAAATAACAACATAATGCTCCCGCGATTTTTGTTATAAAATAAAAAGAACAATTTCGATGAAGTCTCCTTTAACATTATACATTTTATATATTTTTAATAAAAAAGGTGCGAACCACGTAAGTAAAAAAATTACCAAGCACTGATAATGATTTTTGATTTGAAATATTATTAAATTGGTATAAATGTGGGAAAGAAAATACTCCGATTTATTGTTTGAATATTATCAAAGTGGCAAGGCCGTTGAGAATACTAACAATTTATGAAACTTCAAAAAATTTTATTTTCCGTCAAAAGTTGTTTATTGAAACCATGATAAAAATATGGTGACAGGTAATAAGGTCAATGGAGATAAGGTCAATTGACTTTATTTCCCACCCTGGTGCGAAATGAAGTCAATTGACATTATTACCTTTTCAAAAGCGAAATAAAGTCAACAAAAATTTGGAAATAAAGTCATTGACGCTATTTCCTCATTCAAATGGAAATAGCGTCAACAATGCTTAAAGTATGTCGATTCATAGAAAAAAATGTTGTTCTTACAATAAACATTGCCCCGTAAGTGTTGTTTTTTAATAGATGAAAAAGGTTATTGCCAAATCCTCAGTGTTGTGATATTAATCCACACACAATCATGAACTACCACCATTTGATTTTATTAAAAAAATTTAAATTACGAATATGTAAAAACACGATCCTAAAAACTAAACGCCTGCGCACAGCTGGAATAAACCTGTAAGTTTATGGAGTCACTAATGTATTAGCTAATTTTTTATCACTTTCGCATTTTGTAAATAAAGAAAAACACTTGCTATAAATGTATTCTTATTTCTTCATATATGGTCTCATCGAAGGTTTTCTACCCCTTCTATTTTTTTTTTTAAAGAACCCACGTGTATTACACTCGATAGAGAGAAATTCACTGACGGAAGCGTCAGCGTTTCGAAAGAGACACCTTTTAGCTATTAGTTAACGTACATATGTATGTATAATCATCTTTGAGTAAGTGGTTTTAGTTTTATACCCTACCATACATGATGTATTTTATGTTGCCATATGGCAACACGGGGTCGATTTGGGTTAAAATGTATGTGCTATCACTGCGAAGTTTCACTTAACAACCTTGGAAGGGTGTAGACCAGACCGATTTGGAGCGAAAACGTGAGAAGAACAAAAATGGCTGTAAATATGCAACCAAGAGATATATGTAAAATCTTTTGTTTACGCACCTCAATAAAGTTACGATTGTTAGTCAAAAGCAAAACCGTCGAATTCGCATCGCAGCAGATAAGGAAGTGTGGCATGAGAAATTTTTGATTTATAAGCGAAAGGTATACGCTATAGATGCACAAAGGAAAAATGTAAATTATCAAAATTGTAACCACAACAATTGCATTCCATTCATTCATTATGCATGCACTTTAAGAGCCAACTTGAAAACTTTGAGAAAGCGAAAACAACTAAAATACTAAATAACTAAAAACAAAATAATTATATCAGCAAACACTTGTTTCCGCGGTATTCGTTTCACCTGACAAATAAAAATCATATTCATGCGACCCTAATGAAGTGCAAAACTCCTCGGCTTATAATAAATGTATGTATGTATGTATATTATATGTACATTAGACCACGTCAAAATAAAAAAAAAAGTATCCCGCAATGCGAGCGGCATAAGACTCAAATTTTTGCATTTACAAGTACATAGAGAGCACATCACAGGGACTGAAGTGAAGCTAACGGAAATATGCATACAGAACATTTTTAGAGTTGCTTTTGTTTAAACTACTGCGAATATGGGATGGAATAGAGTTCCAGATGCGGATAGCATTGACAAAGAATAGCCGTGCAGAGCTGAGATAATTGTAGGTAGGAACAGTCAAGTCCTTTACTCGAGTGGATTTGGGGAATGTTAATTTTTCATATAGATATTTGGGTGCCTTATCTGTCATGAGACGAAAAAGGAATATACCAGCCATGTAGGCGCGCTCTCCAAGCGAAAATATGCTCATCATATTTTGCTAGCCCAAACACATAGCGCGTGATCTGGTTAAATACTACATCTATTTTGTGAGCTGATTGGGAATCTAACCTGCTGTAGACAACCTTAGAATAACAGATAATTGGCATTATAAGTTGGATTGCGAGTTTACGTCTGATTTCTATCGGTGTGAATGGAGCAGACATTCGTAAATTCCTTAAAGTATTATAGACTTTGCCTACAGTTCAATTCACAAGGTTAATTACTTTTGACTCAAATTTAATTGGTTTGCCACCAATGTGTAACGATGGAATAGTTGCTAGGTTAAGACGTTTCTTACAAATAGGTAAAACAAAACACTTGTCACAATTAAGCCGAATACCATTTAACTGTGCCCAGGACCTTATAGACACCAGTTCTCTGTTGAAGCTTGCGCACAAATTAGCTGAGTCCTCAAGAGGACCTCACACATAGAGCTGGACATCGTCCGCATAGGCATGCATGTTTGCGTGCATAGAAGTCCGAAATATATCATTAACGAACATACTAAATAGTAGTGGTCCTAAGATTGACCCTTGTGGGACACCCGTGAACAAAGGCCTTTGTTCGGATATTTGAGATCCAACCTTGACACGCTGAGACCTCTCTTGCAGATAGCTCCAAACCCAAAGTAGTTTTTTAATTTAAAGCTCAGTAGTTTGAGATCAATCTAATTTTCTAGGATCAATGAAAACGCTCGCTTTTTTAATCCCTTGTCCTATTGAGGTCACATCTAGTATTTTTCAAATATTTTTTTTTTTGAAATTCAAGGAATCTGAGCATGCATAATACTTAAATGGCATGTAATCAATGTATTCTTATAATTTTCGCACTTTTCATAGAACCTAGAAAATTATATTGATCTCAAAAGGAAAGAACTCATTTTCCTACGTTTAATTCCAATGGGAAAACTAAATGCTCGACGCGGGACCTCGTACAATTTTCCTAGAGAGGGGAGCATTACTATACCAAATGCTTAAATTTGAGTGTTATGATGGTCGAAATGCGTTTTATTTTTTTATTTTGACGTGGTCTAATGTAGATTATATGTACATACATACATACGTATATGAATGCAATGTTTTAAATGCACTTCCTGCGTTTATATTTAGTTAGTTAATTTTTCCCACAAGTCGTAAAAAGGTAGTAATTAACGCTACTTGAACCATTTTTGCATTTAATGATTCATAATCTAATATAAACGTGTCTATGCATGTATGTATGTACGCATGTACGTAGATGGTGTAGTTGACTCAGCAATTTGCCTTCAAAAGTTGCAGTCTAGCGTTGCAAAGGCCGCCAATGAAACAAAGTGGAAGCTAAGGTGGTACACAAGGTACAAAGCAAAAAGACAATGCTAAGTAAAAGACAATGCATTCTGTCTCTAAAGTACATAAGTATAAGCGAAAACAAAACCATCTTTAGCAAGTGTGGGTATATTAGTGTGTTCCTTCAACAATTCTTAATATGCGCCGAATCAAACTTAAAGTAAGCGTTTTCCTGCAAGATATACAATGTAAACAATATCGTGGACATTTAAGCCGTACAGAAACAGAAAATAAGTTAAATAATCAGAACTACCAACAACGCAGAGCCCCTACTAT